GATTTATTTTCTGCACATCCACTATGGAAATAAATTTGCAAGACATAGAGGTGATTGGAATCAAGTGTTAACTGTATGTTTTATCTGTAAAATTTAAATGGTAGATTTATTTGCTTTAAATTATTTTGTTAACTTCTTAAAGCATTATTTTCTTGCTTCAAACTTTTTTAAATTTTTCAGAGATTTTTTGGTTGTAAGTTTTTAAAGAAAGAAAAACTTGATTGGTTGACATATATATCTCTAAATTAAATTGTGAGTGTCTAGAACATAGCCACAATCAATCACCCCATAGACTAAACTAAAGGGCCTAATTATTGTTTACAGATGGATTAGTACTTCCGTGGTGATATCAATATGGGATATTGCCCGTGACAATTAAATAAATTTGGAGCAGGATTGGACAGAAATTTGAAGGTGCCTCGGGTCAAATCAGCATGGTATAGATTACAATAAGGATGATCCGTATTGGGTCAAGCAGGTTTGCAGGTGATCCGCCTAATTAAGCCATATACCTTGTCGTTTAATAGGTCCTAGGCCGTTTACTTCTTTTTTTTGGTAAACCCTAGGCCGTTTACTTGATAAGCGTATTCGTTATTTGCCTCGTACTAATCAAATCCAAGTATTTAAGGTGTTCAGGTCAAGTAGCAAATCAAAAAAATATTATTAACTTGTAAGTTCAAGTCATGTACCAAGTAATAGTTAATTGATCTAATTATTAAAATTGATGTATGAATACAAATTGGTTTAAAATTATGATTTGCTTATTAAACTAAACCGAAAGAAAAAAAAAAGAAAACCAAATAAATAAGAATTGCGGGTTAATGGCGGGTTTTGCATATACATATTTTTCCGTAATGGCATCTCGGGATTCTATTTTAAAACAATTATTATGTGTTTTATTCTTCTCTAAGAACAATCCCAATGGGAGATTGTCAACCATAATATTTCAATTGTATGTAAATATTTGTATTTTATTAAGGGAAATCTCAAAATTATGAGAATCCTTCTTAAAAAATTTATCATGCTTTTGAGATCCCAAAAATGAGAATTAATTAGAAAAATAATTTATTTTGTTTGAGAACTCTTGTGAGAACCTCCTAGTAATCATTCTATAATCAAGAAGGTTTTCTTTAGGTTACTCAAGTAAACTGAGTGTTATTTACTTATGCTCTCAATTCATAATAATTTTCAACGTGGAATTTGACTATTATCGACTACAAGACAATCAACCCAATTGTATTAAATCCAAAATTCAATGGTAAAAAAGTATATTCTTACCGTTTTATTAGAAATATTGTCATGAAACCTCCATGAAAAGAGTGTGACAGAGTCAGGGCCAGGGGAGATAGAAGATCATGGATAATCCCAATTTTGGTTTCATTTAGAAGAATCAAAATGTTGGATTTTTACTTAATCAAGAGTTCAATAGTAGAAATGAAGATTTTTGTGATGGTGCAATCACAAGGGCTATTGACATCTATAAATATTACAATTAGACTTATACTGAAGATGTCTTTTTCTTGTATGGCGAATTTTTAGAGATGTTCAAAATTGGTAGTTCCAATTTTATTTTTTTTTGGAAAATCTATCGAAGAGATTTCCAGTTTTTTTAAACTCAATCACGTTGTATTCTTTATCAATGAATATCTATATTGAGGTCAATGGTACAAAATCTTATATATTAAAACAGAAGTCATGACTTGACTTTATGTGCGATTTTCTTAAAATTGGACTATTACTAGAAAGTCATGTTACATTAACTTTCTAATAATTTTATCATTATTATATCTTATGAAAAATCATATCTATAATAATAAAGATACGCTTAATAATTTGGTTTAGGTAAATTACCCCACACCATCTAACTTAGTCACGCAAAATATGTCAATAGAATAAGTTTAGGAATCTTCTATTATTTATAAAGAAATATGTCAATAACAGTTAAATGCATCCACAATATATTAATAAAAATCACAGATTCGTAATATGGAATATTTATATACCCTAACAAAATTTACACGCTATATATACTAGATAAATTTATTTCAATGTAAATTTTTAAAATTATATTGTTTTACAAAAACTGTTAAAAAAATTCCTTAATAAAATTATTTATAATATTGATATATGAAGTTATAAGTTTACTTTTTAGCAAAAAAATCTTCGAAGTTTATATTATCTTTGCAAATTAAAGTATACCAATATTTAATCAAGCTCTATATATATTACTTTATCTAAAAATGAAATACTAATCTAACAAACAATAAAATATAGAAGAAGAAACAAACATATGTTTGAAAAACATGTATAATATAGAAAATTTGAAACAATCTATTTGATTAAAACATGTATTATATAATATTATTATGTTTGAAAAACATTTACTATACATATCGTAAATATGTGATTACTATAATATATATCAATTTACAAGTGAAAAATGTTTATATAACTAACTATAAACGAAAACAAACACCCGCGCGATTGCGCGGGTCAAAATCTAGTAAATGTTTTAAAACCCAACCTAAACACTTAACTAGATTATTTTCTGGATCACTAAGTAACTAGGTCGATCATGGTTGAACCTTGTATCATTAAATTAATAAATTTTAATATAAAGTTACACATTTGTGTAACATTATTAATCATTAAAAACATAAGATGATATCAAAATTCATTAAAATATAAAGTAATAACATATTATCAATAACTAAAATAAACAAATACTGAATATTTGTAGGAATTCATACAGGTTTATAAAGATTTATAAAACAACCTATGAATTCAATTTGCCTAGATCTCATGCAAATACTGAAATAAATCTAGATCTTAGGGTTTCGAATATACCTGGTTATTCGTAGCGGAAAGATGAATAAACCAAGTCAAGATTTCAAGCACTCCAAACGTCGTGCCTCTACTGGTATCCACACACACACAAACTGGATCGATACGAGATGCTAGTGCCGTCGAGATCGTATCTCAAAACTTGACAAACTCTTTTGTCTCTCTTAGGGTTTTTAGTGTTACACGGCCAACACACACTCTTTATATCCTTACAAATTTCACAGAACACCTAATCAATGCCTTTATAGTCATCAGTTACGGCTGACGTTTGACAAGGTCAAAGTGAACTAATCCACAAGTAAAGATTCATGATGAACTCAGGTCTAAGGACTATACTCTATAGTCGTAACGAGAAACTCTTATGACACTCATATAACAATCTTGCAGAGTTCTCATTAGCGGGTCAGTCCGATCATGTGTTCTCTAGCACATATCCATGTGATTGATTTCAATACCACATATTGAATGACTCCATGAAACTTAGTCATCAATCACCTCACATACTAGCCATTCGCGGTTATTAATGTCCCACGTTAACAACCTTGACTAGGGACCTCAACAATTTATACCATCTTTTCATGATCAAGTCACATACTTGATGACCTATAAGGATGATGTAAATTATTTTGGGACATTTATTTTAATTATCTAATAATAAAATAAATCTGAAACAATTTCATAAGATTTGAATACATAACCAAATGTATGTCAATGTGAACATCATATCATGAACGTAAAACCTCCCACTAAAATTAAGATCACATCTTAAGATACTCAATGCCTACGGCTGCAGTATGACTTTCATGCTTATGCCGTAGAAGAGGCTTATCAATGGATCAACAACTTTTGCATCCGATGAGACTCTGTTAGGGTGCCTTGCTTAGAACTCTTCCAACAAGTTCATCACTTCCTCCACAGATTAAACTTATCCTTAGTATTTCTGAAATACTCAAGGATAGCCTACACAAATATCTTGACATAATCCAATGGTCTTATTTAATCTATCTCTATAGATTCTTATTCCAAAAAATAACTTTCTACGTTTCTCAAACTTCTTCGATCTTTACTTTACTCCAATGTTTTTCTTAGAAAGAAATTCTCCTTCTAGAGATCATCACTATGAACAACAAACACTTTGTTCTCACTGGGATTGTAAAAGTAAAAACTATTGGTTTCTTTAGGACAACCAATAAAGTAGCACTCATCAGATTTTGGATCCAAGCTTATCATTAAGCATATGTTTGTTTGATACACACATCAGAATTCCAAATTATTAGAAAAGACAAATTTGGAACATTTCCAAGTTACATCTCATATGGTGTCTTCTCAGCTGATTTTGATGGACATCTACTTAATTAGTATAAACGCAGATGTTTCTAGTGAATATCCCTAAAAGGATAATGGAAGATCTACATGACTCATCATTGACAGAACCATATCTAATAAAGTCCGATTTCTCCTTTTAGATACACCATTCAACTGTGGTGTTCCCAAAAGAGTAAGTTGTGAAATAATTTCACAATTTCTCAGATGATCATTAAGCGTTTTGACTCAAATATTTTCTTACTCGATCGGATCGAAGAGCTTTAATTTTCTTATCAAGCTTATTTTGTACTTTATCCTGAAAATCTTTGAACTTTTCAAAAGATTTAGACTTATGTTTCTAGATAAACATAACCATGAAGTACTGATAATTTCCTTTAACATTTATACTCATTGGTCCTTATACATCAGTATGTATAAGTTCCAACAAGTCTTTTATCTCTTTTACTATGTACTGTAAAAAAAACTTTAGTCATTTTACCCAATAATCAAGATTCACATTTCACATGATTCATAATCAAATGAGCTCAAAAGTTCATCACTATGAAGATTTTGATGTGCTTCTCATTTATGTGGTCCAAACGACAATGCTAAAGAAAAACTTGATTTGAGTCATAAGACTTGAACCTTTTGGTATTAGTGTTATAACATGCACGCTTTGACTTAGGATATAAAGTTCATTTTTTAATAGACCTCTACTATAAAAGAAATCACAATGATCAAATAAACAACACTTGTCTTTTAATCAAAAACTAGATTTTGATCCGCGCAACCGCGCGAAATCCTTCCAAATCCAAACATTGTGAACTCCGATAACGCAAAAATTCCGACACTATCAAGAACTAACCCAATAATATAACCAGCGGTATACCGAGAATATATCAAACCACAAGACTAAAATATCCGAAATAAAGATAGCAAACCAAACCGAATTGTGTTAATGTTAAATATTTCTGCAAGCCGTTGGAACATGTATCCCACTGGTTTTGTTATGTCACATAAGACACAACTCCTAAAAATTCGCTTATGTATTCATCTAGAAAACATGTTCTTGACACACACCAACATAAAGATCATCGGATAATAAGAAAAAGATCCAAACCAATCTTTGTTTCCTGGTTACATCCGACGAGTGTGGTTCTCTTTTTCATCTGAAGTTGTACTTCCACTTGCCCCACCAGAACCGCTCTGCACAAAATCACCCCCGCTTTGGTCAGCGTTTCTTTCTCTCAGCATGTTGCTGCCGTTAGAAGACTTTGACCTTATCGACCTCGGTAGTTTCAGTTTGGTACTATTTGCCTCTCCCGAGTCGCTCGGCTCCTGAGATGAAGTTTGTGGTGTTGTTGTTGTTGTTGGTGGTGGATCTACAACAAGTTGAAGCCTCTGCTTCAGCCATTTCTTTCTCTTCATTGGCTTTGGCACATTTGTTTTACCCTGAAACCACATATGATCATCAAATAAGATATCTGCTAGCTACATGAAAACAATGAAAAAAGTCTTAGATAATGTTACCGTCGTGTTTCCGATGTCAGAGAGAGGTTTTCTTCTTGTTTTGGTTCCTTCTCCATCATTAGTCTCCTCCACTGGCTTGTTAGCAAGAGCGTTTTGCAGCAGCAAAGCTCCACGTGAAGCAAGGACTTGTTGTTGTTCTTCCTGAGAGTTCTCACCGTGCTCCAGTGTTGAGGTGGCGTTGTTCCTGTTGGAACATTTAACTGAAGAACAACCGCATGAAGGACCACAAGATCCCTTTGTAGCTCGACACTGACACTTCATCGTCTTGCAAGAAGAGCTCTTACTGCAAGTGCAACATACATCAGATGATGAGGTTGGTTTCGCTGCCTCATCAGAAAGAGATTCCGAGTTCTCTTCATAGGAACGCCTCGGCACCACCACACTAGAGCGCCGTCTTCCAACTTTGAAGTTGCGTTTCCTGTTCAGTTTTATAACTGATTCTTGTTCCGACTCACGCTCTGATTCCTGTTCTGGTTTCCATTCATCATCAAGATCTGGATCTTCCCGTTCATGGTCCGACTCATCAGAATCAGAGGTATCCATGTCCTCGTGAATCATGACCGAGTTCCGGGCTTCCTGCTTTTTCAAGCTGTGCTCATTGTTTAGATTCTCCTGTGCAGACCTTTTGATCAATTCAGAGGCCTGTAAAGTGGAATACTACAAGTTTCAGAGGACAAGTGACATTAGCTATCAAATAAAACAAGAGTAGTAGAAGCTATATTTACTAACCTGTGCCTTCACCTGATGCGCGAGGTCTGCTTTTTGGATCTCCAAGTATCTAACAAAACTACTAAACTTTACAATTTTCTCTTTCAGGTCTCTTATTAAGACATCCTTTTCTCTGCAGTCTGATTCTTTATCTCTAGCTAGACACCTTTAAATTAAACAATGTATAGATAATGAGCTAGAGTCACATTTTGAAGATGAAGCCTCAGTCAAGTGAGATCTTACCTCGCACTTGATGCCAAATTGAACAGATAGTTCATGATGCTCTTTGCGTCACCCAATGTTCGAACTTGGTTCCACCTTCCTCTTCCACCAAACACACGCTCGCGCTCCTCTGCTTCAGATAATTGTGATGCCATGGAAACGAGAGTGTTTGAAGATGTCGCAAGCATGTTCTCCAGAGCAAAAATTCTCGAGTTTCTTGCACCCGGAGACATGGTATCATCATGAACGCTGTTTTGATTACAGAAGATATACACTGTTTACTATTTTTTTCAGTAATTAACTGGTACTAGTTTATGCAAAATCACACTAACCTTATCTTGGCATTCTTGAGCAACTCGTTCTCTTCCTTTAGCCTTGCAACTTCCTTCGCCATTCTTGCTCTCCTGAATTATTTAGACAGGGTTATATGAGAAAGTTAAATAGGAACTTCACTATTTAAGAATCAAGCCATGAAGAAGCTATGAAACAAGCAATAATAAATCACATACTCTTCCGTTTGCCTCTCGTACTCAGAACGTACTTCGTGGACCCGAACAGTTACTTCAATCTCATGTTCAATTGCTTGCATCAGTGCCTGCAGAAAGTTGCAAATACAAACCAACCAACACAGTCACCAACCAAACTCTCCAAAATTCATCGATTTTATATAAGTTGGCGGGTTTTACCTGAGTTCCTGGACCATTAGCACTTGCACCACCTGAATATATAGCAAGTAAGATACTCAGTTAGTACTTTATACCAACAAAAATATAACTGATTATACTAAAGTATGTCACAGAGAAATCCTCACTCAATGCTTCGCGCGAAGAGGCCTTTCGATTGTCTAGAAGCTCTTTGAGCCTCTTTGTCGCCTGGGATGCCTCTTCTGTCTTCCTTTGCAAAACCTTATAAAACCACAGACGATTGATCAGCCATGATAATAGAAAAGATTAAGATCATTTGTCTGACAGTTTATAAAAATGTGCTCACCAGCTTCTGTTTTTGATTCAGAGCCATGAGCTTGTGCATTTCATACTCATTTCTCCTTCCCTCTTTTTTGAGCTGGTTAAAGTTTAAAATACAATATAAGGAGCGGCGGTTTAGTATACCAGAGATTTCTGAATAACTAGGTCAAAATGTCTTCCAACTACTACAAGCACATGTCGTATTTGACACTTGTTTAACTTGTTCATTAGTGGTGCAAGACAGACGCACTTATCAATCAAGTAAGCCTCAAGTGATGAAGAAAAATCTTAATTAACGACAAGCTACACAAAAGCTTATATACCTGCATGACTTCCTTTTCTCTTGAGGCCTTCCAAGCCCTGAACTGCTCCGATTCTTGCTTAATCTTTTGCTGCAATTGCACCTGAAAAGTTCCCAGAAAAGTACAGTTAGAGATACAGCATGAGCATATAATGTCACAGTGTGTTAAAATGGAGATCACAGGAGAAAAAGAGCACCTTTTGGGACTTGATTCTGTGAATTTCATCTTGCAGTTTTCTTGCTGCGTCATCACTTTTCTGCTTTTGCCTTAGGAGTTGAGCCTGTGCATCTTGTTTCTTCTTCAACTCAGAAACCTAAGGACACGGTGCATCATGAAAAACCATACTGTATACGAGTATAGCTGATAAACCAAAAGATGCGTTACCTGGGTTTCAAGCACGTTCAGTTTCTGAAGATACGATTCCTTTAGTTTTTGAGCACCATCGCCTGGGGCAGATGGTATGCTAGCAAGGTTCTGCCTCAAGCCTTCAATTTCTCTCTGCCAATCCATATATCATTTTAATCATAATCCGAGATCAGAAATTTCATCAAAATACAATATAGACGGTATGCACTGACCTGCAATGCCCTTTTTTCTTGTTCTAGTTCATGGACCTTTTTCTCATAATGTTGTTTGAGAACAGATGTACCACCACTTGAATAACGCTTCATCTCAGCCTTCATGAATGGATTGAAATATTATTGCAAATGAAATATTACTAAAGAAGAACATTCCAGAAATGAAAATAGTACCTCCTTCTCTTCAAGTCTCTTATCCAATTCCTTTAGCTCCATATCCAACTTTTCTTGAAGTGAGCAATGTTCAAGCTCCTTTTCTTGAAATTCAACCTCATCTGCACACACTGCAAATCATGTCATGTCATCAAATTAAGAATTTGTGTTCATATAAAAATCTCAGGCTTCTGCTTCTTTCTATTATGCAAGCAAAAATGGCAAAACACTATAAGAGTTCCAACCTGTGACATCCATCACTTTGTCTTCACAATCTGACGACTCATTGGATGAGGGGAACAAGACATTACTCGAACGGGGCCCATCTTCATAAGAATCAACAGACTCAGAATATTTGTAGTTACTGACTTTCTTTAAGCTTTTGACATGCAACAGCTCTCCTTCTAGCTCTTCAATTTTCGAAACGTACTTGTTGATCAAACCAACTTCCTGAAAGAATAAGCACTTTAGCCAAAAGTATTACTTGGTCATAGAATTCAAACTAAGGAATCATTAAGCCCACCTCATCTTGGCAAGATTCAATCTCATCCAAGGATTTACCATTGCGAACAGATTCAATTGTCATTATAAGTTTGTCCTTCTCAACCTGAATGGAAGAAAACAAAATGAGTGAAGTGCTAGATCTCATATGAGTTGATCCATTAAAAACAATGAGAATAGAAGAAAGACCTGAGCATCATGAGCACGTTTTGAGAAATGCTCACAGGCTACTCTCCGTTCTTGAAGTTCATTTTGTAGCTCACGGTTGCTTGTCTCAAGCAATGATACTTTATGTTTGAGGATCTACCAAAGGTTATATATAAGTTTAAATAATGAAATCATGTGGGCTAGCATCAAATGTAAATGTTTTCCATAGTTCAGATTGAATACCTGGAGCTCATCAAAAGAACCACTGTCACCACGATAGAACAAGAGTTCTGTCTGCAGCTGCTCAATTTGGCTCCGCATTCGTTGCATTTGTGCGGCTGCTGGGTCTCGATTAATCTAAACATATCAAGAAATAGCAATACGGTCAGATCATAAGTAGTTAAAAGAAATAACATTAAATCATCAAGTAAGAAGTAAGATACGTACCACTGCCTTGTTCTGGATATTGCGTGCACGATTAGCGTACTTTAGTGTATTCAATGTCTCCTCGGCATTTGTATCAGCTGGACTTACACAAGCTGCATCATAACTTTCTTGGTTAGAATTAATGCAAGAATAAAAGATGATTGTAAAAGAGCTAATAAATCTGAAAACCATACCAATCATAACGGTTTTACTATTGCCACCAAGGGAATCCTACATTACAGGTTAGTACGGTTAATATACTCGTGAAATGTAGTTCGATTGACAAGGTGTTGTGCAAAAATACAAAAAAAAAATCTTAATACCTGAAGCAAACGAGTTAGCTTGCTGTCACGGTAAGGAACATGACCTCCCTCTTTTCTCTTTCTCTCATCTCCTAGGGCACTGATTACATTTCCCAATGCTAGTAGACCTTTATTGATGTGGATTCCTGTAAAATAAACAAATCTCCCAGCTTAGTAATTTGTCTCTCTTTACATAATAAAAGAAGAGTAATGTAGAACAGAAATAAAGGTGCGAGATAACCTTCTTTCAAGCGCATCCCATCGGCTCCTGTTCGTTTTGCTCTTTCAGATCCAGCTAAATCGACCAAATGAAGCTTCGCACATAGTATATCTTCACCCGCATCTTCAGTCGCTGTGGAAGAACTACTAGAACTTCTCTTTTGCTCCAGAGTGATTGTGAAGATTGCATGAGACCGACTATAAGCAAAAAAAAAAAACTAGCATTAGCAAAAATTTGAAGGAATCCTAGTGAAACCATATAAAGTTACAAGATTTCACCTTGATTGGCTATTCATGTTAGTGCTGCCAGTAGCACGAGCCAAAGATCCTCGAGCAAGATACGATCCCATCTCTTCTTTCGTCTTTACTTCTGCCTCAGTTACTCCAGCCAAAGTGATTCCTCCAATAGCAGTTTCCCTGATCTGAATCGGCGCTCTTGAGAGAGCAATGTTCTTCACCTGAACCGCACCATCATTCTTTTGGAGCGCCGATGAATTCGAGTCAAGCAAATCGAACACTTCTTCCTTAAATATCTGCACTTTGAAGATGACACCTTAGAACTGAATGGAAACATACAAATCCGATCTCAAACAATGCTCTTACCTCAATAAAAGACACACGAATCAATAGCTCCGTCGAATCTTTAGTCGTCTCAACTCTTTTAAATATATCTTCCATCACTCTCGGTATAATGCCACCGTTTGTTCCATCTCCACTATAGTTAGTTCCCATGGTGTATGTCTTACCTGAACCAGTCTACAATAAAACAACAAAACAATGAATTCAATAGCTCTAAAGAAAAATGTGAATTACACGAAAAAAAGAATCACAAATCAAACCTGGCCATATGCAAGAACTGTAGCGTTATATCCTTTAAATAGTGCCTCCACAAGAGGAGCAACACAATGATCATAGATCTCAAAACACGGTAAACCAGCATTCCCAAATACGAAGTCGTATGTGAAGGTGTGTGTACCGATGTGCACCTGTTCAAATTCAGATGACATTCAAAACAATTATCAATTAATATGTGATTAGAAACACAAAACTTAATTCCGCAAAACCTAATTTGAGTTTATTATAAACCTACAAAATTATCAATTAATCTGTGAAGAGAGACACAAACTTATTTCTTGATTTATTAATTAACTGAACATAATTATCCTTTTCAATATACGAAAATTTTGAGAAATTATATGCGAAAAAAAAAAGAGAATACCTGAGGCTCCTTAGGCAAAACGGTGATGCAATCGGTGCATCCGTTAAGAAGCTCCGGCGTGATTAACGGACGGATGTTAACGGCGACCCGTACGCACTCTGCGGCTTCCATCTCCTTCAGCTCACAACGCAGAAACCGGAACGACGCGAAAATCTCCAATCGACGCGGAGAAGGTGCAGATCCGATCGAGGAAACGGAGATCTGGAGAGATTTGAAAGCTCGAAATGTTCGCGATGTGCGAAACCTGTGGAGGAAGAGGAGAGGATTCAAATTTTGAAGGAGGAGACAGAGAGGAGAGAGAAGCTTATAAGAGAGAGAGAGGTCGAAAATAATAAAGAATAATAGAAAAAGGTAAATTAAAATATATTTCTGTTTCTGGTGGAATACCGCGCCTCAAATCCAAATTCAAAAACTCTTTTCGACCGTTACGCACGTGAGGTCAACACGTGACCATTAAAAATTAAAAGGCCCATTAATTTAATCCTCCGTCCTTGTAAGCCCATTAGGCCCATTAATTTAACCCTCCGTCCTTTTAAGCCCATTAGGCTGATAATTTAGGCCCATGGTAGGGCTTTGTTTGAAAGACGGAAGGTTTAACACTTAACAGGAATCTCAGACATAGCTACTCTGGTTTCGAGCTTTGAAGGGTTAAAGAAGATGGAGAATAGTGGCAGTTTAGAGCAAGCTCTGCAAGAAGGGAACATCTTGAGGCAGCTCAATGCTCTCATCGTTGCTCATCTCCGTCACTACAATCTCTCACAGGCATGTCAGTTTAGAGCAAGCTCACACATAGCTTCTCAATTTGGGATTTTTTAAAATTATTTTTAGTGTTAAAAGTGTTAAACTTTGAAATTCATTTATATATATAGTTTATTTGGATGAAAAATCTAGCTAAAGCTTTCTTTTTTGCTGAAGGTAGAATCATATGATTATGTGTTAGAAGAGTAGTTAAGTGCTTATATTTTGGGTATTTGATTAATGTTAAATGGTTAAAGTTTTGATTTTTGAGGTTAAACTATATTTTAGGTGGCAAGTGTTGTTGCATCAGCTACTATGACACCATTGAATGTTGAGGCATCTCCTAACCGTCTTCTCGAGCTTGTAGCAAAGGGTCTTGCAGCGGAGAACAATGGGACACTGAGAGGTGTTTCTTCATCAGTCTTGTTACCTACTTCTTATGGATCAATCGTTACTCCTCGGACACCTTCTATTGACTTCAGGTCTTGTCCCTTTTTTTTTTCCAATGAGTAACACATTTTATGCTATACTTTAGAGATTAAATCAGAATTGATTATCAATTAATTAATATGTTTTGGACTTTTCCCAACTAGTGTTACTCATGTAAAAGGATCATCAAAGACTCTCCCAAAACATGAATCAAAGCAGCTCTCAGAGCACAAGGTATTATCCATCTCTCTATATGACACATCTTGGTCTATCATTGATATTTGGCTGATAAGCTTAATGCATTTTATAGAGTGTTGTGAGGTGTGCAAGATTTAGTCATTATGGAATGTTTTTCGCAACCGGCGGTGCAGACACATCAATTAAGCTCTTTGAGGTACTAAAACTACTTGGAAACTTTTATAGCATCATCAAGAATTGATAGTTCTTTGGATATGCCATGTTGTTGTGTTTTTTTTATAGGTGCCAAAAGTAAAACAGATGCTTTCAGGAGATACTCAAGCTCGACCATTAATACGTAGTTTTTATGATCATGCTGAAGTAAGCCCTCCTTAGTCGTTATCGTTACTTTGTTCCCCCCACAAACTTCTTGATTTGTTTGTATATCATTTACAGCCAATAAACGATCTTGATTTCCACCCTCGGAGCACTATCCTAGTTTCCAGTGCTAAAGGCAACTGTATAAAGTATCTTACTTATCATTTATGTTCTCTATCTGAATGATTTTTCTCACAGGGATTACAAGAAAACTGCGTGTTCACCTCTTTGTTTGTGTCTCTGGCAGGTTCTTTGACTTCTCCAAAACGACAGCTAAACGAGCTTTTAAAGTTTTTCAGGTAGAGCTTATGGTTGTTATCAGTTTGTGAGAAAACACGCTTCTGTCATTGAATTGATAACTCTAAAATTCTGCAGGATACACATAACGTGCGCTCTGTATCTTTTCATCCTTCTGGAGAGTTTCTTCTTGCAGGTGAAATCTTTCAGAATGCAGAGACCATCTTATAAAACTTTTCTCTTTGAACTCAAACAATGGTGTTAAAGTTGAGAGATCTTTGCTTTTGGCAGGAACTGATCATGCGGTTCCACATTTGTACGATGTAAACACTTATCAATGCTTCCTTCCTTCAAGTTTCCCAGACAATGGAGTAAATGGAGGCATTAATCAGGTACTTAAACATGTTCTGTAGTTGATGATCATGGATTCATGACTGTGAGACTCTTGGTTTTTTCAGGTGCGGTATTCTTCAACGGGATCAGTCTACGTTACAGCTTCAAAAGATGGAGCTATTCGACTCTACGATGGGGTCAGCGCAAAGTGTGTACGCTCCATAAGCAATGCACATGGAAAAGCAGAAGTCACTAGCGCTGTATTCACCAGAGATCAAAGGTACAAAAAGAATGTTCAATCAATTCTAAACATCACTAATAAAAAGTCTCAAATATAGTTTGATCTTATGGATTTTGTTAGGTTTGTTCTCTCGTCTGGTAAAGATTCAACGGTTAAGCTATGGGAAATAGCTTCTGGTCGAATGGTCAAAGAATACATCGGAGCAAAGAGGTTAAAACTTCGGTCTCAGGTGAGTTATTTTCTCAACCTCTTACTTGGTCCGACCTATACTGAACAGTCCTCGTTGATGTGATAAACACAGGCAATCTTTAATGATACGGAAGAGTTTGTAATCTCCATAGATGAAGGAAACAATGAGGTGGTTACGTGGGATGCAAGAACCGCAGAGAAAGTGGCAAAGTGGCCTTCTAACCATAACGGTATACCACGCTGGATTGAACACTCACCGGTTGAATCAGTCTTTGTTACTTGTGGAACAACAGATAGATCAGTTCGGTTCTGGAAGGAATCCGTTTAGAAAGAGAGACTTTAATCAAATCAAATAAATGTCTTTTTTCCTTCATTTTATTAAAAAACATGAAAATAAAATACAAAAAAAAACATAGATTATGAAATTATTCTTTTAGAAACTTGTGGATGCGTTCATGTTGCCTTGTGGAAGACGCAAGTTATGTTCCAAGTCACTGCATAAGAAAAAAAATAGAAACAAAGCAGGTGAGTTTTTAGTATCAGAACTATAGATTTGTATATGTTGAGGAACTTACTCAATGCTCTAGTCACTCTCCTCTTGTCAGCGGTTATAAACCTCGTTGGTCTAACGTTCTTGGTCGGTCCACAAACATACTGTTGTTTAGGTGCAGTGAACATGAAGTTAACCGGCATTCTAACAGTCTTAACCGAGTCACCAGCATTACCAACTGCTATCTGAAATGCACTTTCTAAACCGGGTTTTAGGACACCACCTTTGCAGCAATTAGCAATCTGCTGATTGAAAGGAGTACTAGGAAGCAAATCAACGAGTGTTGGTTTACTAGAGCAGGAATGAGGCATGTTTTCATTGTACATGGAACAGTCTCCTTGCTCTGTGGTTTGTGCACCGACAATGCTCCAGATCACCTCTTTGCTGGTCCAACTCCAGCTCATTGTCCATCCTGGTGAAGGAATTGAACGTTGTTTCTGATAATTGTAAGCTGTTACAGTAGCCTGAGAGAAAAACAAAGGTTTTGTGTTTATTCAAGAAAGCATATATCTCTGAGATTTGGTGAGAGAAGTAGTAGTTAATGATGGTTGAACTTACAACATAGCCATCAGGAGTCCAGCTGATGAGATCCCATTTGATTGTGATGTTCCCCTTGTTGCTTTTGAGAGCTTCTGCAAATCAGATAACACACAAAGACTTCATAAGTTTGAGACTAACAGAGAAATGAATGGGAATGTATAGAAGTAGAGAGATCTTTTTTATATTCAGAGACTTACCTGAAGAAGTGAAACATGAAAGGGAAACCAAGAGAAGGACGATCATAGTGGAAAAGAGAGACTCCATTTCTATTGCTTGTGGTTCCAATGCAGAAAGAGATCAAGTTATAAAAGAAGAAAGATCATAGCGCGTAGACGTTGACTTCATCATGTGTACCCACGTGATAAACAGGTATATAGTTGTATTAAATTGGTTAAGTACTTATGGAACATGATTAAAGAAGATTAGTTTGTCCACTAAAAACTTATAAGTAAATAACCAAGCAAAAGCAAGAAGCTTAATTAGCAACTTTTATAGTGTGTAAACGTTACATTAAAGCTGACCCAAAAGATTATTCGGTTGCTGATGAAAGATCAGTACCTTCCTCACAAAACCATACACAAGGAAAGAACAAATATTGTTTCCAACCATAAACATTAGATCATTCTATTAGATGTTGAAGATCAATCAATCAGCATGAAAATCACAAAACAACATAAAAATCTGGAGATACATTTGCTTATTCTTTCATGTTGCCTTGTGGAAGACGCAAGTAATGTTCCAGGTCACTGCATAAACACATAAACAAAGCAGGTAATTTCAAAGTTCAAAACTATAGATTTGGGGAGGTTTTGTATTTTTGTATCTGTTTTGGAAACTTACTCAAAGCTGCAGTCTTTCTCCTTTTGTCACCGTTTATAAACCTAGTGGGTCTAACGTTCTTAGTGGGTCCACAAATATACTGTTGTATAGGTGCGGTGAACATGAAGTTAACCGGCATCTGAACAGTCTTCACCGAGTTACCCGCTTGGCCAACGGATAACTGAAATGCACTTTTTAAACCGGGTTTCAAAACACCGCCTTTGCAGCAGTTAGCAATCTGCTGATTGTAAGGAGTTCCAGGAGGCAAATCTATGACTGTTGGGTTATTAACACAGGAATGAGGGATGTTTCCTTTGAACATGGAACAATCTCCTTGTTTTGTGGTTTGTGCACCAATCATGTTCCAGATCACCTCCTTGCTAGTCCATTTCCAGCTCATTTTCCATCCCGGTGAAGGAATTGAACGTTGTTTCTGGTTATTGTAGGCTGCAACCACAGCCTGAAAAAAACATTAGAGAGATTCAAAGGTTCATTTGTTAAGAAAGTATATATAGTTGTGATACTTGTACTTACAACGTAACCATCAGAAGTCCAGCTCATGAGATCCCATTTGATAGTGATGTTTCCGTTATTGCTTGTGAGAGCTTCTGCAGATGAGATAACACAAAGACTTCATCAGTTTTTATAAGAGACAAACAGAGAAACAAAGGTGAATGTGCAGGAGAGAGGTCTTCATGTGATCATATCCAGAGATTTACCTGAAGAAGTGAAACATGAAAAGGAAACCAAGAGCAGTACGATCATGGCAGAGAAGAGAGCCTCCATTTCTATTTCTTGCGGTTCCAATGGAAGGAGAGGGAAAGGAAAGAGTCTTATAAGAAGAAAGATTAAGGCATAGACTTTTACTTCATCAAAGCTTAGATTTTGATTTCATCAACGCCTAGACTTGACCATTTTCAAAGCTGTATACTTGCTGTATCATCAAGTTAAATGCCATTATGTTTTGAAATGTTCATCAAACATATTCAACTAAGACAAGTCAGAAAACCAAGCAAAAGCGATAAACTTAAAATTGTATCTCAGATTCTAGTGCAACTCATGAAAAGTGTGCAAATGTTACAATAAGCAGAACCAAAAGATTATTAAGTTACTGATAAAAAATCAGTACCTTCTCGGAAACAAGGAAAGAACAAAGACTGTTTTGAAACCAAAAACATTTCAACATTTCGATTATTAAGCTAATCAACATCACATTCTCCTCCTCATCTTGTTATGAGGCTTCTTAACAAAACTCATGTTAATCTGCTTAAGCCTTCTCCTCTTCCTCGCAGTCTTCTCAGGCAAAGTCTCCCTCTTCTTCACATCACTCTCCACATCCTTACTCTTCTTCTTCAAAAACCTCGGATCAACCCTATACTCCTTAGGACTAACCTCAACACCTCTCCTCACAGCTTCTTTAAACAACCCATTAGCTCTAGTCACCTGATTATTCGCACACATCTTCCCCATCAACAACTCATAACTCTTAACCCCAGGCTTACACCCATCACTCTTCATATTCTTAAACACAACCATCGCATGCTCAAGCCTCTCAATCCCACACAAAATCTTCAAAAACCCATAATACTCCTTCTTCCCCAAACACTCACCAAACCCAGCTGACTTCATCTTATCAATCATCTCATCACCTTCCCCAATCCTCCCCGCCTGATACAAACTCCTAATCAAAACAAGATAAGTCTCAGCATCCCCTTGACAACCCCACTCACCCATCTTCCCAAAAACTTCCATAGCCTCACCAGTCCTCCTAATCTTACAAAGATTATTAATCAACACATTAAAAGTCCCAGTATTCCTCGGGACGCCACGTGTCTCCATCTCCAACAAAACTTTCTCAACTTCCAATTGTAACCGAAACGGATCTTTCTTCCTACAAAGCTTACAAACACAATCAAGAATCAAGTTATAAGCCAACGTCCCTATCTCAAACCCTCCTCTGCTCATCTCACCAGCGAACCTAACCGCTTCATCTAACTTCCCGCCGTTACACCAACCGCTTATCAGTAAATCACAAATCGTCTCGTCGGGGAAAATCTCGTTAACGTTATTCTTAACTAACTTCTCCGCCACACTCGCGTGTCCTCTCTCGCAGAGTTTCCTAACCACCAAGGTCAGCGTAGAAATATCTCGTTTGAAACCATAGTCGTTTTCCATGTTCTCGAAGAACTCCACGGCCTGTTTAGCTCGCCCAGCGCGGGCTAGCCTGTCGATGGCGGAGTTTAAGGTCTTTGATCCGGCGACGGATTTGTGTTTGGAGATGATTTCGAGCATGCCTTTGAAATCTCTGCGGCGGCCGAAGTAATCGACGAATAGGGAGACGGATTCGTCGTCGTGGGAGAAGGTTGGGGTTGAGTGGAGCCAGTCGTTGAAGCCGAGAGCTGCGCGGCCGGCTTCGGGGGAGAGGTTTAGGGTTTTGAGGATGAGGTCGCGGGTTGGAGTGATGTGGGAGAAGCTGAGGTGGAAGCGCTGGGAGATTGAGTGGGGATCGGAGGATTCGGGGGTTCCGGTGAGTTCTTTGGAGAAGGAGAGAGCGATTTGAGTGGGGTCGGGAGTTTGTTGTGGATTTGCATTGGTTTCGGATGAGAAGAGTCGAGAGGGGAATAGAGGGAATGAGGTGTTGCGGGGGTGGGAGTGGAGAGGAGTGGAGGAGGGGGATGAGGTGGTGAAGGTGCGGAGGAGGAGTCGCCGGAGTTGGAGAGAGGGTAACGGCGGCGGCATTTTCCGATTTAGGGTGAGGAAATGATAACTCTAGAGAGAGTAGTGGGGAAGGAGAAACAAGGGAAGTCATATCTAAAACCCTAGTTCATGAATGTGATTGGGCTTTAGTTTTGGGCTTTTGATTTGTGTGAGCCCATTTTTAATATTTAAATTAATGTATAAAAACGTAAATATATTGAAATTTCGTTCGGGGATGTAGCTCATATGGTAGAGCGCTCGCTTCGCATGCGAGAGGCACGGGGTTCGATTCCCCGCATCTCCAATTTTTATTTTAAATTTTGCTTTTGTACTCTTTCTTTACAGTTTTAGACACACGCCCTTTGTAAAATCTCCCTCCCCAGTAAAAACACACTGCAATAAAATCTCTGGAGACTTTCAGAGATTCTAGGGTTCTTCTTTTCCCCTGTCCCAATCAAATTCGTGGTTTTTTTTTTGTTCCCAATCCAGTTTTTTGATTTTGTAATCTGGTGAGTATCTCTCTCTGTCTTCAATAAGACGTCAACTTTAGCGGTTGCAAAATCTCTTCATTTGCCGTTTAGATTAGAGAAAGAGAAGAATGATGAGAAGTTGGCGTTTCTTCGATTTCTGTATACGAGGCTGCCTCGTTAGGGTTTTTTATATATCCCTTTTAGTTCGCGTAGTTAGGTTTCTAATGAACTCAGGGTTTAGAATCGATTCCTAAAAACATTGGTTTATCTCTTTGTTTTAGCTAACATGACATAGCTCTTATGTTTTTTTGGACAGTGGAGCTTAGATTACAAGAATCGTAACTTCTCGCATTACAAAGAGAATGTACACTAATGGAAGCTCTAATCCTTCACCAGGAAATTGCCCTCCTAACCAGATTCATCTGCCTCATTTGCAACCGTTTCCTCCTCCTCCTCCTCAGGTTCAGCAGTATAACTCTCATCTTCCACCTGTTTCAATGTTGCCTCCTCCACCACCGTTACCTCCTGGTGCCACACCACCCTCACAAGCTTTCCCTAATCAGTTCCACCCAAGTTTCCCACTTTCTTTTCCTCTGAAGAGCTTGGAGCCTCCTGGGATGCCTCTTCCTCCTCCTCCTCCTCCTTCTTCATCCCCACTCTTTGCAGACACTACTTGTGTTAAACCTGAATCTGCACATGGTGAAACCGTATCTTTAAATGGCAGAGCTCTTGACGTTGAAAAATCTGTTGTTGAAGACGCTGGATCTACAAAAGATACTTCTGTCCGTTGTATTGGTGGTTCTTCTTCACCACATGAGAAGGCAGAGCATGGTTCTCCTTTATATGATGATCCTGACATTGAGATGGAAGGTTTGTTTTGTGAGAATATTTGTAACTTTTTTAACACTAAAGTTTGGTTCTTTCTTGGTTACCCATTTGTTCTTCCTTTGTCTTCCTTTATTTCAGATGATATAACACTGCCTGAGAATGAGCCTCTCAACGACGGTTCTGATCAACTTCACACCGTCTATTCAAATACAGAACAGCAGCCTTCACAACTTGTTTCAACTGAAACCAATTCTGTCACAGGCACTGCAATGAATGTTGAAACAAACCCTCCTGTAGATGATGGTTCCAGACAAGCTTCTTCCTCGCCTTACTCCGGAAGAGCCAAGATTGTTCCCGTTGGTGACATGTATGATCCCTTCGTAGACAGCTTCGAACCAACACCAGTGAAACAAGACTGTGTTCAGGAGCAAGAACCAGTCAGCGACTCGTACACTCTACCAAAAGCAAGCATTTCCTCAAACACACAAGTTAATAAGGAAGAAAACAACCAAGGTGCCCTAAATGAGTTTGACACGGCAGCTCAGGTCAGTGTCTCCTCCAACAAACCACCTGACGTCGAAGAAAACACCACGGGGAATGATATTGGACCAGTGGTTTCTGGAGATAACAGCCATGAGACTTTGACTCCAAACTCCCATAACGAGAATCCAGACGCGTATAACAATGTAGCTGAAGATGTTAGCACGAGGAAAAAGTCTCGAGGGGATGTAAAGGAGAAAGATTCGTCAAGGTCCATGAAGCTTTTCAAGGTGGCGCTAACGAAGTTCGTGAAGGATCTTCTGAAGCCATCTTGGAGGCAAGGGAATATGAGCAAAGAGGCGTTCAAGACTATTGTGAAGAGAGCGGTGGATAAAGTTTCGAATTCAATGGAAGGTCGTCGTGTACCAAAGTCAAAAGCTAAGATCGATAAGTACATTGATAGTTCACGGGACAAGCTGACCAAACTCGTCATGGTAAGAAACATAATAAAAGCTATTGGCACATAGTTATTACCGAACTAGACTCATCTTGGTTCTTCATTTTGTTTTTTTTTTGGCAGGGGTATGTAGATAAGTATGTCAAAGGATAGAAGATAAGAGAAGAGAATCATGTGACACGGCTTTGCTGCTGCTTGAAGAAGAACTAATGTTCTACATTTTTGTCTTGTTTGAAAACAATGAATGTTTATACAGAAAGGTTCTTCGGTTGTGATTTTCTACGATTATGAAGTCACTGGTAACATTTTATGACTCTCAACATTTTGTGTACATGAAGAACCAACTAGATAAAAACTATTGTAAGAACTACTGCAATTCTATGAAGGATATTAAAATCAACGTTTATCAAATTTTAGATAAACAAATGAGTTTGGGTGTGAAGCCTCCGTAGCATAGTGGTATTGCGTTCGCTTCGTAAGCGAAAGGCCGCGAGTTCGATCCTCGCCGGGGGCTTAAACTCGTAATTAGCCTTTTTAGTTTAACTTAAGGCCAGTAATGTTACGTCAGCTTCGCGTTGAAACACAACAGTACGGCCCAAATTATCTTTACATAACCATATTTTAAACCATAGTGAAAAGAAAATCTAAATGAAGAAGTATCATAGTTTTAAATTTATTTCCACAGGTAAGGTAAGATTGGAAATAATATTAGACATGTTTCTTTTTATGTTATTAAACCTAATAATATCTCCGTCTAACCGAATCTGATCTAAATGAGAGAAGATATAGCCTCTAGTCCTTACTTCTTTTGCTAACGCGTCCGGTCGACCATTCTTACTCCGAAAATATTCCGGGAATATGAAACAAACTCACATCCTCAAAGTTTTCTTAACAACAAACTTATGTGTTTGATTTCTATGAACGAAACACTAAACCATGAATGCAACTACAAATTAGCGCCTTGGTTAGTCAGTTGACTACTCAATGAGTACAAATACATTTTCAGTTTAATAATGTTGAGCAGTCAATGGTTTAAGTAGAACGGTCGTTTTTGAACGTACACTTAATTAACATCATATTCAAACAATTTAAAAAATTTTATTGGTTTTACAACTATATTTGGTAGGAGTTAACAGAATCATAGAGGTCTTATAAATGAAAGTCAAGAGATGATGGCAGAAAAAATCATGTTACTGCCTATGACAAGCTGATCGATATATCATTAGTCAACTGCTTCGACATCAAACCATAACATATATTCGTAGACCAGACAAGTCCAGTTAATGAATTTTGCGTAGAAAAAAAATGTATGTATATATAATTAGATTCATGAAAAGTGTAGAACAAACCCGAGTTATTCCATCCACTGAGTGAGTAGGTTCGGATAGATCTCCATAACGAGTTTTTTATTCTTAAAAACCAATTTAATTAATTAAATACTAATGAAAAATGGTATAAGGTTTAGAAAAATAAAATACTAGATAGATTTTTCCTGTTGCCTACGAAAAAAAATATAGGAGACATAAATGTACCATAAATATAGCCTCTACAAAAAATAAAAGAACTGAAAAAGAGAAAGTAGAAAACAAAAGGAATTGCATGCCTAAGTGAGTGAATTATGTGAAAATGAAATGAAGTGGACCTGATTTTTTTTTCTTCCTCTCATAACTTTGAAGCATGCTGGTGATGGAAAATGAAGTCTATAATCATATGGACCATACATATCCCATTTCCGATAAAAGTTTATAAATACACATATATTATTTTAAGCAACGTATACAACTCGTACTATTAGACCATCTAATTCTCATGTTGATCACATCACATGCTCATTTTGATGACAAACAATGTTATTATTAAGAGTTTGATCCATAGAGAGCTAAAAGAATACATATATGTACATAGGTTGATGAATTAATACTATCTAAGAATAAGTGCAGTGAATACCCTTTTAAGTATTAGAATATACTTTCAACCGATCTATAAGAAGATATATGGTGTAGGTAGGCAATTTAATACTCCTGGAGATCTTTGTTGAAAGAAAATAACGAATCTAATGGCAAATCTTTGAATTTTCTTGACAAGTGTGTGCACATCTATATCTAAACACATGATTTACTAAAAAAAAAAGGATTTAAAAGGACCACACAAAAAGGAAATAAGTTATGTTTTCAAAACCAATGAAATTACTAATGGCGATTAATTAATGGCCCTACAAACTGAGAGAGAGAGGACTAGATTTGTAAGATAGGGATCAGTGCTTGACTGCAATTCAGTTGCTGTCTTAACTGCTTCTCTTCTTTCCCTTTCCTTCTGACCCCTCCAATCCCAATACTCCCCATCAACTACTTCTCCTTTTTATTTCCATATTTATATTTAGGGGTTTTTGCCAAAACTAACCTACAACTTGGTTTTGACCCCAATACTAGACCCAAACTTCAATCAAATGCAAATCTAACCTAAAAGTGGTATGAAATTACAGTATAGTCCTTTGTGACCAAACAAAAAAACAGAAGATATTTTTACGAATTTAGCCCCTGTAAGTTGTCTGAGTCAGATTGAGCTAGTTTTCAGNTCAGTCGTCTGGACGACTGAAATATTAGTTGTCCGGATGACTTAATCTTAAAAATAATTTATAAATTTTGTAAAAAATATTTTGATGAGTGAAAATTGAAAACTTATAATTATAAACATTTTAAAGTGATATAAATTAAGAAATGATAAAATTGATTTATTTTCAGCATAGATGAGTGGAAGTAGTGAATCATGATATTTGGTCTAAGGGTTTGGCAAACATATGTTGTAGCATTGTATGTAATCTTATGGTTAGATTTTGAAAAGCTGAAATGTTTTTTTCAAAAATTTAATTTGGCCTCTATGTGTTTATTTATGTGTATACTAAACACTTTTCAGTTTAATTTAAGTTTTCGAAGTGTTTAATTAGAGAATGAAGTTTAGGGGTTATGTTTAGGGTTTCGACGACTGAAATTTCAGTCGTCTGTTTTAAATTATTTTCCAGTTTCAGTCGTCGTAGTATTGCCGCCTAAAATTTAAGAAATATTCTACTTTCCCGCTAAAATTATTAAAGTCTCATGGGCGACTGAAATGTTAGTTGTCTGGACGACTGAAATGTTAGTTGTCTGGACGACTGAAATTTCAGTCGTCTGTTTCAAATTATTTACCAGACGACTGAAATGTTAGTTGTCTGGACGACTGAAA